GGGCAAATCAGTAGTCATCATTCTGTACTCCTGCTCATATAGACATATGGTAGTGTACCCTCTGTTTAGCTGCCAACTCTGTTTACCTACTTATCCAGTACAGTGATAGGTCTCTAAAGTCTCTGAAGAGGATATGGAGGGTATGTGTCCCCGAGTTAGCAACTGTACTGGATTCAGAAGCAACCACTCTTTGCTCTTGTGGGTTTTTCTGCCCCACTATATCTGTGAACACAATTCAATTAATGGTGTTTCCTGCTCCTATCTGCCAGACCATTGCTCTGATATACAGTCATACCTTTTACTTTCAGGGGTTATTGACTTTGTCCTGTTGTAATTTAGTTGTGAGTCTATGGAATAAATAGTTGAACCAATGTCTTCACTCTGTGGCTGTTTTGCTGGACTCCAAAAGAACCTCTTTCTTATATTGACAATTACTTCATGAATAAAGGTGGTGACAGAAATACAATGTATTTGTGAGTTTAGTCATTCCTTTGACCTCTACTTACACTTGGCTGATTTTTAATATAAAGGACCCACTCTAAATAAAGATGTATGAATAAAGCATGAAAGTAGTCCTAGTACTGAGGCAAATGCTCTCACAAGGAAATGGCAGAAAGTGGCTTTTCAGTAAAAGGATTTAGGGTTGAATTCAATTGATCTTTTTGTGACCTAAAACAATTCATTTAATCTCCCTAAATTTCAGAGGAGTAAAAAATTGAATTTGATCTACTTCAAGGACTTGATAGGATTATATGATATAATGTCTTGAAGGTTCTAATATAATGCCTAGTTTAGAATGGACATTTAATAAATTTTAACTTGTGGCTATTATCATTCTTACTCTATAGAAAGAGAGTAGCCTTACTGGATAGATTTCTTGAACCTTCATGTTAGTAGGAGCAGATTTGAATATAAAACCCAGCTTTAATTTTTATTAATTAACTTGCAAGAACTCATAGAAGTTACTTAATTTTTCTGAATCTCATTTTGTTCAACTGAAAATTGATCCCATATAATTCCGTTTCCAAGAGTATTAAACGGGAGAATGTACATCATACTGTCAGTTACAGCAACTTAGTCTAACAGAGAAACTGAACAATTAATCATAGTATTGCTCTGTCATAGTATTGCTCTGTCATTAAAGCATTCTTGCTTTACAAACTTTAAGGAATGCTATGAGACTTTCAGATTTTTCTTTCTTTTATTTATTTTCCTCTCTTTTTAAAATCTTGTTTGCGTGAAAAAATCTAGGAATGTATATCTTCTACTTAGACAGGTTTTGAGTCATTCCCCAATGATTAGTATTTGCTGTGAATTTATTATCTTCACTAATAGTCCACAGTTGCATTGGGCTCTAAATTTGTTATTTCAATCAGTCATTAGTATTTTATTGATTGACCACCGAATACATAAATAAAATAAAATAAATAAAATCCAAGGATTTTCCCAGTTGATTCCCTTGATAATAACCAGTTACTTAGAATCCTTAATTCTTGTACCTCCTGTATAGGGAGTACTGCTTAATACCTTGTTTAGTACACTAGGGACTGCTTTAATTAGGACTTTCTATGACACTCTCCCAACCTGGGCGTCCTTGTCTCTTGCTTGCCCCTGTCAAAGTTTAAAGGACTTACCTGATGTCAATGCCCTGGACATCCAGCAGTGTTGCAGCTGTCTGTGTTACTTCTGTGTCTGCAACAGATGTGGATGGAGAAGCTCCTGCAGTGTAATGTTGACTTCCAGATGGTGGGCATGGGGAAAAAGAAGGTGTGACAACAGGAGGGGAGGCCCTAGGAAATGGGTGACAGGAGGGAAGAGACAGCTACTGGGCAAAGAAAAAAAATGATGGGTGGCAGAGGGAGGTTATCGTATGGATGGAATATGATTTGTCACATGTCTTACAGTAGAAACTGACTCGGAATTTATAATTAGCAAAATAAGTGACTGCATATTTACTTTAAAAAACAGGCCATGTTACCATAATATTTATCTCTACATATTTTTTTTAATAAATGGTAATTAAAATTAGTTGTGTGGTTCTAGGAAAGCTATATTAATACATTGATAACATAGATACTTACGAACTTGAATTTTTAGTTAAGGAAATAACATTTTTGATTTATTATATGTAACCTCTTTGAAATTTAGTTGTATGTTCAGATTATTAGATGCTAAAGAATAGTTGGTAGATTAGTATTAGTAAAAGTAGTTCCATATGCAAATTAAATTTATAACCAATCTTTTGTTAAGAAGGACATGTAAGCAGCCATAAGCCTAATATATAATTTTCCATAGTGCCCAGCAAACATAATTAATATACCTGCCATCTAAGTTAGAATATTCTCCCATGGCTTGTTGTTTTCATATATGTCAACCTTAGCTAGTTATAGAATTCAAAGTCATTCTTGATGTTTTAGCACAAAACTTGATTGATTTTATTTATTTATTTATTTATTTTTTTTTTTTTTATAGAGGCATGCTTTATTTATTTGTTTGCTGGTTTGTTTGTTTGTTTTTTTGTTTATACATGCACTGGGTACAGTCAGAAGCGCGGGAGGGTGAGAGAATTCACCAGAGCCAGAGCGGGGAGCAGAACAGGCAGAAGGACCGAAGTACACTGCTGAGGGGAGCAGCGGGCGGCAGGAGAGGTCTGCGCGCCATGTGGGACCCTCCTCTGGTGGCCGGGGAGCAGCCGGGGATCGAACCGGCGCCGCAGAGGCCGCGGGCAGCTTCGCAACCCAGCGCTCAACCGCTGCGCCACCGGGGAGGCCCTGATTTTATTTTTTTAAAGATTTATTTATTTATGCATAAAAGAGCTGGAGTACAGGCCAGAGATGGGGTGGTGAGAGGATTCACCAGAGACAGAGCGGGGAACAGAACAGGCAGACGGACCGAAGTACACTGCTGAGGGGAGCAGCAGGTGAGAGGAGAGGTCTGCTTCGCTATGTGGGTTTCTCTCTGGCTGGCCAGGGATCAAACTCATGCTGCAGAGGCTGCAGATTGCTTTATAGTGCAGTGCTTAAAAGCCCTTGTGCTACCACGGAGACCCAAAACTTGATTAATTTTAATCGTCAAACTGAATTCACACCTATTTCAGAATATTTCAGTATACAGTGATAGATTTCAAATATTTCAAATACATTATCAGTTCTCATTCTGATTCAAAATTGGTAGCTATTCTTATGTTTGCCCTAGGATAAGGTAGCATTTCTTCTTCATTTTAATACTGCTAATACAAATATAAAATTAATAGCCTAAAAAATTTGATCTGTTGGAATAGAGTAAAAAGTAACTGAAAACATAATAGATTATACTTTTTAACCTATTTTTTTATTTACAGATTAAATCTAAGAGTTGAAAAACATTTTTTTTTTTTGAGAATTTTGGAGCCCATGGCATCATCATCACAGGTTTTATTTATTTATTTTTTTTAGAAGTCGGGTACAGGCCAGAGTCGTGACAAGATTCACCAGAGAGAGCAGGGAGCAGAACAGGCAGATGTACCCAAACACTGCTGAGGGGAGCAGCAGGCATGCCGCACCATGTGGGTTGCTCCCGGCTGGGGCTCGAACTCGCACCACAAAGGCAGAAGGCTGCGGACAGCTTCACAGAGCTGTGCTCAACCTCCTGCGCCACCAGGGAGGCCCAGAATTGGAAAACATTTCTAACCTCTGAAAGAAACTGTTATTTATTGAGTCCCAAAGAAAGCCATTTATTATAATTATTTATTCATTCATCTAACATTTATTGCCTCTCGAGTAACATGCCCTTGAGGAACTTCTAGTCTAGTGAGGAAACAGACAAAACTGGTGTAATAAGTACTGTGCCAGAAGTATGTAGAGGTTGGGGTGCAGTAGATGTACATAGAGCACATGCCAGATAATGAACAAAATATTGAATCACCAGAATAGCATGGGCGACGATCAATGAGGATAGATAGATCAATGAGGACAATCAATGACGATCAATGTGAACAGCTGACATAACCTAGTGCATGATAACTGAATACTAACACTGAATATAGGAAGGAGCTCTTATTTTGTGCTGGGATCTGAGAATCAATTCTTCCTGGAGTTGAGAAGATAACGGTTTTGTAGAATCTTAGAAGAGGAATAAAGATAACTAGATAATGGGAGGACAGGTGAAATTTTACAAAGGGAACTGCAGAGTCTTCTCTTTGTTAGTGTTGGTGGAAGGGAAATGGGATTCATAGTACACAAGTTGCTCTCTAAAAATGTCTGCCTTTCCAACTGGAGCAATAGATCTTGTATGCCATATATGTGGAAGAAGGGTTTAAGGGTTGTCTGACTGTAGTGGCAGGAGGGGCACTGAGCAGATTGCCTCTGATTCAAGCAGGTCGGGTAAAGGAGAGTCCTGGAGCCCTCAGTGGCTTTCTCAGGCTTTTATTGGGCATTTACATGTAATGCAGCAACCAGGTACATGGCAGGCAGGGTTGCTGGGGCGGGGTGGCCAGGAGGCCAGTAGGACTCCAAGCGCCCCACCCCCTTCTCTTGGGGAATATCTCAATATTGCTCCCATGGCCCAGAGAAGTAAACAACATAACTTAAAACAATGTTACAAAATGCAGGTGCCCCACCAGGCAGGGCAATCCTAATGGCAAAGGGCAGAAAAGCCTGAAAATCACTTACCGTACAGTGATTTTTCAACAATTTCTATTCATGCTATTTTCTTCCATAACTTATATGGGTGTCTGATATCTGTCACCTTAGAGTTTCAAACAAAGCTTATTTTTATTAGTGATCTTGTCCAGTGTTTTTTCAAAATCATGGGTAGAGATCAGAATAAATAAGAGCAAAGTACTTTCAAGTCATGGGACATGGCTGAGTTAAAGAGGTAGAGAAATGTACCTATGCAATCCACTGAGAAATTACTTATAACTAGAGCCCAGTGATCATGCTAAAATTCTATTAATAAAAGATACTGTAATATTTTTTCTGTCAAGTGACATTATCATGTAGGATTTTTACTTCCTCTTATAGATGTTGATCCTGTCTCAGAATATTGCCCAGCTGGAGGCCAAGGTGGAAAAGGCTGTAAGAGAGAAGATTTCAGCTGTTAATCAATTAGAGGAAATTAAAAACCAGCTTACTTCCCAGGAAATGGATGCCACAAAGGTACAAAGAAATAGTTTTAATAAGTACTGAAAAAGTTAGTTTGAAAAAATATTTGCTAATGTAGAGCTCAGAAGAAAGTTTGGGGTAGAAAAGTTTTATTATTTCAAGATAATAAAAATGTACTTAACGGTCGTTCCATAAACATTTACATAGTATTGGCAGGCCCTTTACAGGGTGCTGCAAATACAAGGATGAATTAAATACAAATAATGTCCTCAAAGACATTAAGTTTTATTAATTACCTAATATTGATGAAACTTGTATTTCTGAGTTTACTAAGACTATTAGAAGTAACATAGATTTAGTTTTCACAATGATACAAAAAGGTACATATTCCCAATATTAAAAGTATGCTTACTAAAAAAAATCCTCCACTTCCGAGCCTTTTCAGATCTCGTATCTATAATCAAGATTATCATACTACAACTTCTTATTTTTTTGGCCCTTGAAATTCATATTTTAAATACTACATTGTCTTCCCTATGGGTATCATAAACTTGTGAACCATCAGCTAAAATTGTCATAATTGTCTAAGTAAGGTACATATAAGAAACACTACAAGTTCATATAGATTTGAGTAATTGATTGCTTTTTAAATTGTGTCTTTCTTTTTTTGAGGTAATATTGTTTTACAACACTTTATGTGATTTAGGGGTATAAATTCACACCTCTCAAGATCTATGTCACTACAAAACACCCACCACTAGAGCAATTGTTTTAAAACAAAGAAACTAAATATGGGCATGCGCAATGTTATAAATTAAATTGAGTATGTTTAACCAATACATGCACAGATAATTTTGTTTAAAATGCATATCATTTCCATATTGTATGTTACTAAACGTTTTGTTATATTTTGGTACATTGTTAATGCCATTGTTGCTTTATAATTCAGAAATTAAAATTAACTTTATGTTTAAGGTAAGGGACCCTATCTTTTCTTCTCCTTACTTTGTTCCCTTAACTACAACTCTCCCTTTGCTTTCTAAAATTCAAGTTTTAGCTAATGTAGAAGTTTTAAAATATCCTATTTGCCAATATAGGTAATGTATTTGTATGGAGGTAGGAGTTAGAAATAAGGGAACTGATGCAGAGGGATGGAAATGGTTAACCTAGATTAATGGGTGAAAATTATGGTGAGAGCGTTTTTTTCTTTATAAGGGAAAGAACTTTCTATTGAAATGAGTACTCTTGTCTTTACAACTGTCCAAAATGACTCAGTAATCAGAAGAGTAACAAGGTTACTTCCAACTAAATAAAATATTCTAGTTCAATTTGATTTTTTGATTAATTTTAGATGAAGTTTAGTCTTATCGATAAATTTAGTAAATGCTAAACTGGAAGTAGTAAGATGAAGGAACATTAAAAATAAAATTAATGATAAAATAATTTTAACATAACCTATTGCTTAGACATTTATTACATATAATATTTTTGTATTGATGATCGTTTTTAAATACCATCATTGTATAATTATTATTTTTGATATTATCAATGGGGATTTTTTAATTCATTCATACATGTAAATCAGATTAGATTAGATTAGTGAAGAACTAAGAAAGAAAGCTAGTTAGTGCCCTTTTAGTTTTTTCCTTTACTCTTAATTTTTAAATTTTATTTAACTTTAAAATTAAAAATTTTAATTGCTATTTTTTAATTGGTACACTCAACTCACACATTGAGGTATTTGAATTTCAAATAGAAGTTTTTGTAATATTGTTTTTACGGATTTTTGAAGACCACTGTGGAGAAATTTACTGTTTTCACTGTAAGTTTTGAACCCAGATTAGCTTATTGGTCAGAGTATTTTTATTTAAACATAGGATATGCATATCTGTTGAGAAGATTCTAATTCTAAATTCTAATGATGAAACTAATTTATAAAGTTCTAATAATTTTTCTGCAACAACAAAGTTAAAGTTTAAAGCAAGTATAACCATTGGATTCATGATTTACAAAAGTTTGTATTTGTGTATTAGAAACTGACTTAGCAGAATTCTCTGGAGATTCTCAGAATTTCAGATAACATCATTCTATAGGTTCTCAGTAATTTCAAAGACTCATAGTTTTTCTATGTAGTTTTATCTGCTCATTCAGTTTTAAAATACATTTATCTGTTTGTATTGAAAAATAAATTGGGTACAGGATGATACACAAAACTTTAAGATACCATATGTGTATATTAATCACATATTAAAATCATTTCACTTAAATGTATATTGCCCTTTTATGTTAAATGCTTCGATATAAATGCAGTGTGTATAGTTCCTGTGACTTTTGCCAAACACTCTTTCTTAACTTAAAATATATATTATTTTGCATGATAAGTTTGATACTATTTACTAGTCTTATAGTAAATATTTGATACTCCTGTATACCTCAATATCAATAATATAATCTATCAGTAGAGAGAAAAATTACTTTATGTGCTTTAAATAAAAGTCTAACTGATAAAATCTTTAAAGGAAAATTTTATAATGTAGAGTGTTATTTAAATATAGCAATTTTGGGGTCTCCCCGGTGGCACAGCAGTTGAACGCTGGGTTGCGAAGCTGCCCGCGGCCTCTGCGGCGCCGGTTCGATCCCCGGCTGCTCCCCGGCCACCAGAGGAGCGTCCCACATGGCGCGCAGACCTCTCCTGCCGCCCGCTGCTCTCCTCAGCAGTGTACTTCTGTCCTTCTGCCTGCTCTGCTCCCCCGCTCTGGCTCTGGTGAATTCTCTCACCCTCCTGTGCTTCTGACTGTACCCAGTGCATGTATAAACAAACAAACAAACAAACAAACAAATAAATAAAACATGCCTCTATTAAAAAATAAATAAATAAATATAGCAATTTTAATAAATAATTACATTGGTTAATATTTTAATTAATAATTTTACCTAGTTAAAATTGAGATGATAGTGCTTTTTGGTGATAATATGCAATAGAAATTATTTGTTTATATTAGAAATCTTGGGTACATATTTAAATTTTCATAATTATGTACTTCTTTATCTGTAATTTTTAATTATTAGACACAATCCCAGATATTGCCTGCACATCTTAACAGAATGTGTTGAATAAACTAATAGAAAATGTCACTTAAGAAAGTGATCTTGTATTTTATTTATATGACCTCTAGGGGGCACTGAAAGATTTAATTGCAGGCTCTGTCTGCTAGATTCCAGCAGCTATTGATCTAGTTTTTATAATCTAACAGGTGTGTGGGGAAATGCGCTATCAATTGAATAAAACCAAATTGGAGAAGGATGAGGCAGAAAAGGAGCACAGAGAGTACAGAACAAAAACTAAAAGGAATCTTGAAATTAAAGATCAGGTAAGAGATGGCACAAGTGTAACTACAGCAGTTAAAGACAAAAACTAACGTTCTTTCTAAAGTTAATGTGGTTTTATTCCTAAGTCATTTATTTCTATTATATTGTTTCTAACTAATGGAACTATCCAGTTTATTCTATTAAAAGAATTTCATTTATAGTTGCCTAAAATTATCACCTTTCATATGAAATTGTGAGAATACAACTGCATGCATATAAAATTCCAATATGACAGGTCATAAATATACATTTGGATATGTGTATCTATTACTTACAAAAGTAAAAAACATGTTCTAATGCACAGTTTGAACCTAAAATATACGTGCATAAAGTTCTTGAAAGATGCCAACTGGAATCCAATTTTAAATAAAAAAGTTTAAAATTTGTAAGATGAGATGAGTTGATATGTAAATACGTCAATCAAATTGATTGTTGGCAGAGTGAAACCAGTTTTAACTAAGATAACCATGAATATGTTTCCTTAGGAAGCCTAAATACAGCGAAATTAGAAATGTTGGGGGGGGGAAATGCAGCTTACTTCAATTTCAGTTTGAACAGATGTTTTATGTTATATGTTTGTTGAGATCATGTAGACACTCCAATTTTAATTGGCATTATGGATAAAGTTTTCAGAAAGACAGTTCTAATAGGCTGACTTTAGATTTTCTATTTTTATGTTATAATACAGAAAGAACATTGAAGGCTTTTATTCTTTATTTTCAAAGAAAACATGTTGATAAATCTATTTAATTGAAATAAGACCTTTCTGCATTTTAATATTTTAGAGAAGTCACTACAATTTTAAAATGCAGATATCTACAAGTAAAGTTTACTGAAACTGTATTTCTAGTCCAAAGCTTTATATTGTATTTTCTAACATATTTTCCCTTTCAACAAAATCAATTATCTATGCAAATTATGCAAAGAAAATTGAGAAACCTATTGAAAATGAAAGTAATAGGTTTAGTATAAAAATGTTTTAAGACATAAATGAAATCCCTGGCACTAACTAAAATCTAAACAACCAAAATCAAATTCTGCTTTTGTACCACTGTATTTAGAGTGTTATAACAAGTTTTTAATTTTCAGAATATTTTCATTAACATGTACAAATAATGAAACTATTTTATTCCATCCAGTTGGGGGCGTGCCTGATAGTGGAATTGACGATTCTTTTTATCAGGGACTGATAGTCTAGTACTAACAAATCAAACACAGAACTTTCTTTTCTTGATGTATTACGACTTTTTAAAAAAACCTATGATTTTGACATGCTCACTAGTATTACCATATATCTCTCTACTATTCTGTAGTATCTGCCAACATAATATTTTGGACCAACTCAAAAAAAACAGCAAGGAGTATCTCTGACTTACTTAAAATTACAGTGTAATGTTCTGGAGGAAAAAAAAATGCACTATAGGAACAATAAGAGAATACCATTCACTTGTATATCAATTAGCCTATGTAAAAATATTTGTAAATTTCTCTTTAATTGCTATATGTCATTTTAATTATGATTTGGCAGACTAAAGTTGCAGTATCTTGAAAGAGTAGTTTTCATGTGTAAACATTTCCTGATAGTGAAACATTAACAATTTTCACAATGATTTTTAATGTTTTTAGATAGAGATGTGCCTTTAGAAGGTCACAGAGTTAGGAATAAAACCTCTGAACAGTTACAAGATGTTCATGATGTGATATGCTTGTTAATATTTTTTTCCTTGGGCACAATGTGAGGAAATATTATAGGTCATTTTTGTAACTATTTTGTATTGAACAGACAGTTTCAGAAAAGAAAGTCGTGGTATCTCATTCCATAGGTGATCTGGTGTAGCAAAGCAGCAATTGTTCTTTGGTCTTTCAACCATGACATGACCTTCTGTCTGTCAGAGTGAGGAAGTTACTTTGCTAGGCCACCATGTATATTTGAAAGAAATTTACATTTAACTTTTAAAAGCTGGGATCTGAGATACCCATAATATATGCAATGCATACAACTTTTAGGTGTTCTGCAATTCAGAGTAACAAGACTGTCTCTAGGTTTACAGCAAGGTATTCCTTGTAACAAGTCAATTTTTGTTCATATTTTTGTTAATCTGTCTACTTGATACATTTGTAAGTAGATGGGAAACTGAGATTAGAATTTTGTGAAAACAACTTTTTTGATGTGCACAAAATAGGGCAAATGGTTGGGCGCCAAAATTATTTTCCTTGTGACTCAAGCTTTGACTGGCATAATTAGAAAAAAAATATTGGGAAAGTAATAATGGCAGTGTCTTCTACCTACTTTCTCCTTTTCTTTTTTATAGTGTGTTAGGATTATCCTCCCATCAATTCATTTGTATCCCTTCTGTTTAGAAAGCTCCTGTCAGTCTCAGAGGATGCTTCTTGTATCAAAACAAAGTAGCAAATTTGTTATGGAGGAGAATGAAAACACTGTACCCTGATTTTTACTACAAATTTTTTCATAGGTTGCAAGGATACATTCACAAGCACATACAACACAATTATGGGAATTTAATATATATATATATATATATATAAGCATAAAGAGAATATTATAATGAATTCCCACATTTCTATAAGTTTCATCACTTTGCTCATTCTATTCTATATAACAGTTTTTCTCTCCTTTATCTTCACTTGTCATCTTCATCTTATTCATCATCTCTATTTTTTGTCATCATGTTTTTCTTCTCCATTTTCTTTTTGTCTTCCCCTTTCAACTCTTCTGTCTTGTTCTCCCATTTCTTCTTTGACTGAAGTATTTAAAGCATATCTCAGACATTGTTTTTCACCCATAAATATTTTGGTATGCATCTATGAAGGATATTTTTTCATCACTACCATATCATTATTATAGCTGATGATATTAGCAATAATTAATTTATCTCATATAATGCCCAACCCATATTCATGATTCTTTGACCATCTCAACAGTCTTTGCTGTAAAGTTGTTTCTATGAATCAGGAAAACATATGTTTTATATAAAATGTCATAGTATTACCTTCCTTAATAGGAAATAAAGGACATCTTAGAACTTTTCAAATTTCTTTGTCGTCTTTGTATTACTAAAATTTCATGTATAATGTTTTGATTATGTTTTCTATTTATAAGATACCATATCATCATTCTAAAAATATTATTAATAAATACTGTAACAAACTATTTGAGGGAAATGGCTGCCAGCCAGTAACCACAATCATATTCTGAACAGAGCCCATTAGAGCTGAAACTCAAAATACGTAATTTCCGAACCTGACATTTCAAAGTTAGGAATACTTCAAGAGTCTCTGTTATTGCCCTGGCTTTACAAAGGCTTTTACTTTGGAGTGAGTGATGCTAGCATGGAATTTTCTTTGTCAACTACCATTTGGTAAATTATTTTCAGAAGATGATTTTTTAATAGAACCTAACCTCTGTACCATTCTAACCAGTGCAAAATGGAAAATACAGGATCCTTTGTTCAAAAAGCAGGGGAAAAGTGATGTCAACCTTCAAAAAAAAGTTTTTATAGAATGTTTTCCTTTTTCTACAATCTCTGTTTCAGCCTGTCATGATGTCATGCTATTTAATGCTTGGGATCCTCCAGCACAGGGTTACTAGTGGGAGAAGGTAGATTCCTATAAGTCCCTATGTTGTGCACATGGTCTATGACTTCTCCCTACCATCAACCACAGGACCTACACTCAGTGCCCCATGGGAGAGGAGAAGGAGTAAGTCTTCCATGTCTGAAGATGGTCAGATGGGCAACTTTCTAGAGATTGCTGCCTGCACAAGGAGGCACACTTTGTAGCTGGTTCAGGGTGAGCAGACGCTCCATATGAAGTCTGCTGAGTTTGCTGTGGTGCTGTCAGCCTAAGGCAAGGATGGTGACTACTGTCACTTTCTCTGAGAACCTAGAAAAATACATTTAACCAAACATTGTTTGGGTTTATACCCAGGCTCCTGCAGGGACAAAAGACAATAGCAGAACACATGCCTCCACCTCATGCTACCATGACTTGGTCCCACTCAAGTCAGGGTCTGGCAAGAGGTAGCTGGAGGGGAATAAATATCTGCTTTTGCTCTGCTGTCATGTAGCAGTGGGGAGACAAGACCACACGTGTCATCCAGGGCTCCATTCTACCATCATATTTAACTTACAAAACACAAATTCCAATATATAATCATTAAGGATTTTAAGACATGGTCCAGGAGCATTAAACTGCAAGCTCAGAGCCCTTCTAAGCACAGGGACCTCAGTGACTACAGTGATCACATGCCCATGAAGCCTCTATGGCTAGGCAATATACAAATAGGGATTTGCACATGGGCTGATTCACATATATACAGTCTCACTTACATATACAGATATGTTTGCATGTTTAACATGCCCACATGATCCATAAAAGAGGACTGGCCAGCCACAGCCCATGATCCAAATATGACATGCTTTTTTTACAAATAAAGTTTCACTGAATTTACTGTCTGCTTTTGTGCTACAAAGGCAGAGTGGAAGTGATGTGGCAGAGATCAGAGAGCCCACGAAGACTAAAATATTTACTATTTTAGCCTTCGTCAGAAAAATTTGCCAAACCCCCCCTAAATATTAGATATATAGTTGTATGTTTTATGTTTTCTCTGCCTTACTAGCAAGTGGAACTTTTTGTTTTAAGACTCATCAATGTTAAATAACTTAGTGGTTTTAGATCATTTTTCAGTACAGCAAATTTGTCACATCCCTGGTCTCTTAATTACTTAATGGCATCGCCAAGTGAGTGGATTACAGGTCCTAGGGTCATTATCGTATTAAGCACACAGTTTGATAAATGGTTTGGATCTTAGTATAAATATTAAAAACTGGCTTTTATTATAATTTTTTAATTTTTTTAAAGATTTATTTATTTATTTATACAAGCACTGGGTACAGTCAGAAGCGCGGGAGGGTGAGAGAATTCACCAGAGCCAGAGCAGGGATCAGAACAGGCAGACTGACGAAGTACACTGCTGAGGGGA